CTAGGTTAAGCCAGGCCTCTACATTTAGAAGAGCATGTATGTATCTGAAAAGTACAAACTTTTTGATAAAGCTCTGATTCTAAACTCAAATCTGGAAGTATTGATCTTATAGTATTTAAGCTAACCATTTCAGATATATTTGAAGTTGTATAATAGACTCCATGTAAGTGAGCTGCACCACAATTCTGAAATTTGATTCTATCAAAAAAATGTGAGTAAGAACTCCACTCGCTAATGTCTTGATTTTTCCAAACATTTTTTTTGAGGTTTTGTAGTCTATGAACAAAGTGAAGAGTCACATGTAATGGTCTGTTGGTTGGTAGTAAGTTATTGTTATTTGTATTAGCAAGTATATCACGAAGATGAGTTCACGAATCTTCTGCAATTGATAATGTAATAAACACAGTTAGAAGGCCAAGTTCACGTATCATTGTATTCAAGTGCATATTTTTTTTAGAAAATATCCGTCTCCAGTACAAATGAATATAGGAATCAGAAATATCTTTAATTTATTGTAACACCAGCTATCAGTATACATGCTTCATTCTATAATCTCAATAGCAGTCAGTAAACGATATGTCTCATTAGTTGCTGATTGTCTAATTAGTCATTGTGTATTCTGGAAATTTCCGAATTTTTCTAACTGAAGATATGCCCATGCTGGCCAATAGTAATATATTTGGAATCGAGAATCTTTAGAAAGTAAACGATATTTAATATACTTTCCAAATATATCATGTTGTCATTGAACGTTTTCTAATTGATCTATCATTTCATGATAATGTCCATGGCCATCTGGATACAAGTCAGGAAAGAGTAGAGGTTCAAGATTCGGATCATTTAAAGCGATGGGAATTATGTTCAGATTCAGATTTGAAATGAATCCAGCCATTAAATAACTATAATGGGAATTTTCATTATGTATTTCTGTAAGAAAATTTTGATGAGGGACTACTATGTCTCCGTGCTGAAACAGAGATATAGTTTCATCAACTAATGAATGAGTAGCTAGTAGAAATTAATTATTTGCATCTGGAATTAATTAGGAATATTCACGTAAATAAGGATTGTTTTCTTTAAGCCAATCAATAGCATTCGATACTGAAGTATCGAACCAAGCAGGAATTTCAGATTGATTAAACGTTAGAGTATCTAAGTAAGCACCCAGTATTCCTGAATATAGACTTAAGGAGTAAAAGTTCTGAGAGTAATTGACCGAGCTCACCAATTTTCTATATTCAGAAAATGAGTTTGCCCTAGGTGTACGGCCTAAAGAGCAATGAAGAAAAATAGGTGATAGATATTTGTGCTTTTGTAATAGTACAGAATCAATTTCTGGTAGAATTTGATGAAGATAAGGGGAATAATTACGTAACAGGTTTGTTTTATATGAAGAATATATTGTGATATGATTAGCTAGTAGGTTAGGATTAGTGATTAATAAAGTATTTAGATATGCTATCGTAAGAAAATAAGTAATAGTAGGATCTTACAGAATCCATAATAATTTTTTGAGATACAGTAGTTTTGAACAAATAGAGCAGGGGATGCACAGAAATTGAGTTAAGATATCATTATTAAATTTATTAATAAGTTCCAACATTTTGATAGATATAGACTACGGCATGATAGTTGAGCGTGGAAGTATGTTTAAAGAAGGTGTCATTTCTTCATCAAGATATGTAGTATCTAGATCAATAACTTGTTCCCCAGAAGTATGTTCTAATGGTTCTATATCGAGAACCTAGTGTACATTGAAAGACATGACAATTAACATTAAACTTAGGAGAATTTACACAAGTGATTACAGTTTATTCAGTAGTATTAAGTTATGTATGAACAATAATTATTAAATACGAATCTATGGTTAAATTCATGTGATGATAGTAAATCTCGAGCAGGAATTATAGTGATAAGAACTATATAATTAATGATTTATTATAAAATATATATTTAACTAAAAGAAATTTATTTTAAATTTTATAAAAATTTTAATCAGTTATAAAATTATTTATATTTAACAGAATATTACGAAGGCAAAAAAACTTTGTCTTTTATAGATTTTTATAACATATAAATCAGTTTAACCTAGATGTAATATATTTTTATAATGATACAAAAATTTATCTTATTCGATTATTCGGTTCTTTGTTGGCTAATTTAATTATTCTTTTAATCAGTATGATTATTTAAAGTTATTGCTTGTGCTTTACGTGGTGTTGAAATAAAATCCAAAATTGGATATCATAGTACTAATAATATCTAATAACATTTACAAGTGGTACTTAATAAAGTATGAAGATAAAATGAAATGCCAAAATTAGTAATAAAATATACACAGATAACGTGTAATATACGAACAAAAAAAAAGAGATTTCTGTAAAGCATAATAATTATTTTTCAATTTATTTTATAAAATAGATATGTTAAAAAAATGCTCAGAAAATGGGATTTTTATTTTATTTTAGTACAATACAAATTATTCAGGGGTGTGCGTGGAGATTGATAGTCAAGAATTTAATGAAATGCAAAGAATATGATAAAGTATTACGAGAGCCTAATTAAATTATGTAAAGTAGTGTTTTGATCATATTTCTAACAAGCTATCTGAATTGTATTAAATTTTGATTGAATCTGTCTTAAATTGTGTCTTAAAGCTAGCCTTTAGATGCATTTTTAGATCCATAATTCAGTTCTTTGACTAATACGAGTAAACATCTCTAATTTGTATATTCAAATCTATATAGATTTAAGAATCAATCTAGGTCTCGTTCCATAGATAGAAACGCTATAAGAAAGTAGTTAGAACCAAATATGTTTTACTGAGATCGGTAAAAGTATAGTAGTAACAAAAGTAATAAATTTGTTTCTAGAAGTATAGTGAATAATAACGGGGACTAGTTATATTCTAATATATTATAATGATAATAATTACTGGAAAGTAAAATTTAAATCGCTTTGTCAAATTTCATTAATAACTCAGGTAATTATTAAAATTAGTATCTGAACTCTTTAGAATACAATTAGTATTATTCACATCAATTAAATATGTTTGCAGGCAAGTTAATAAATGGGTATTCTTTAGATGATCATAATTTACTAGTAAATTAATCGTGTTAGCCAAGAGATTTATGTCTTTAATCTGAAATTTAGGTTCATGAGTTATTCAGCGCATTGTTTATAAAGGTAAATCAGATATAATAATCATAAGTTGATAACTCATCCCAACGATTTTATTTAGATATAAGTATGACAGTAAGTACATATTAATCGAATCGTTTTTACATGTATAAATTAGAATGACATTGAAATAGACTCGATCAATCTGACATTTTAATTATAGTACATTTTTGTTAGTAGAGTTATCAGTCTCGTAATTGAAATATTTATGGTTTCGACTTATATTGAATATATTGCAAGTTTAGATAATAGTGTCACAACCCAAATCTATCTACTTTAAGATCTTGAGTAGCAGTTTACTTTAGCTATAGATATCAGTAAAGTGATACCGATATCAGATTTGTGCTAAATAAAATATGTATATCGCTGTTAAGTGTTGAATAAGATTTAAAGTAATTTGCAGTCACAGAAAAGATAAACAATCAAACATATATGAAGATACGAGTGATTATCACAAAGTTTATTAGTCAACAAAATATCCAAAAGTTATTCAAACCAAACACATTAGTATCCTAGAATAACCATGTCTTTGAGTTTATCTAATAATTGAATTAAACTATATTAAATTTATTCAGAACAAACTGTCAATTTATTAGAAGGATATTGAGGATATTTATACTTGTTTAGAGAGTACAATACTAGCGAGATAACTATCGGCTATACTAATATCTAGATAGAGTGGTTAATCATATAAGAAAAAAAAAGACATATTCATATACAAACTAATAAAATATAATATGTTGATTAAAATTGATCAATTCTGATCAGAACACTCTGAATTGGTTAGTGTCAGTATCATTGCTATATCATGATATCATTTGTATTATAGGTACAACTATTAGATTGAAATGACTATAATTTATGGACATGGATGTCTGTAAAATCACATGATTATTAAACATCTATATTACTGCAATTACTGTAACTGGTCAACTGGGTTATTCAGATTATTTAAAGTAAATCAGGTCATTATCCAGTAACAGGTTTATAAATGGGTAAGTAACCTGTAACTAAATCTTATATTAGGACATTATTGTTTGATCAGATTGGTAACGATCAATTGGGTTATTCAACTAGTAAATGTTTTGGGTGATGTTTTTTGAACAGATCTAATGACTAGCATGTGGTTCATATTTAAATATAATGTATTTATACATGTTAATTTATGAAAGTAATAGTAACAAACATAAGTATATGATATAAATCTTTTTTTAGGGTTATTAAGTTAACATTCAATACTCAGAAAGTTATAAGCATGTACAAACATGTGAAATTCATGAATTTTTGAAACGTTATTAGGTTAATAGAATTTTAACAGCAATAAATATATTGATCTCATATGTAAACGCAATCTTCAAAGTAAATTTAATACAAATTTTATTAATACAGTAATTAATATTGTGAAAAAAACATGCTATGAACATAAATGCAACATACGGAATAAATATATTTGTAGTTAACAAAATAGTAATGTAAAAAAAAGTAATAATATTAAAATAACAGTGAGTGATATATATCGTAGTATATTTAAGTAACTTAACAAAATAATATCCAAAGTAAAATATCATAAAGATTGAATAGTCAAAGATAAGCAGATACGAACAGTTGTAGTTTAATGATATTTTAATTCGAAATTAAATTTATTGAAAATAAATCGATATAACATAATACGTGATTATTGTAATTTAAAACTAATCAAAATTTCCTATTTTTTTTTTTTTAAGTACAAATTAGAATTCACAGAAAAAGAAGTTTTTGGCTTTAAAAAAAAAAAAAAAAAAAAAAAAAAAAAAAAACAAAAAAAAAAAAATTTCAAAAGAAAAATTAAAAAAAATTA